CTTTGTCTGTTCTTGAATACCCTTGTACTGACATTTCTATAGACTTTATTTTGGAATTGCCTAAAACAAAGAATGAAAAGGATTTTGTATTTATTGTTGTTGACAGGTTTTCTAAGATGACACATTTCATACATTCCAAGAAGATAGATGATGTTTGTCACGTGACTGATTTATTTTTCAAGGAGATAGTGAGACTCCATGGGTTGCCCGGGAGCATTGTAAGTGATAGGGATACAAAATTCCTTTTGGAGGACATTGTGGGGGTAAAATTGGTATTAAATTGTTATTTTCAACTACTTGTCACCCACAAAGGGAGGTAGTTGATAGGACTTTAGGCACATTGCTCAGGACTATTTTAAAGAAAAATATTAAGCCTTGGGAAGCATGTTTGCCTCATGTTGAGTTTGCTTATAATAGGTTGTCCACAACACAACAAATTGTTCACCCTTTTGAAATTGTGTATAGATTTAATCCTTTAACTCCTCTTGATTTATTGTCTATACCTAACATTTCTATGTTTAAGCATCAAGAAGCCCATGCTAAAGCTGAATATGTAAAGAAGTTGAATGAGTAAGTGAAGACTCAAATTGAAAAGAAGAATGACAAATATGCTAAGCAAACTAACAAAGGAAGGAAGAAGGTGGTGTTCCAACCTGTGACTGGGTTTGGGTACATATCAGGAAAGAAAGATTTTCAGAACAACGAAAATCTAAACTTCAACCTAGAGGAGATGGACATTTCCAAGTGGTAGAAAAGATCAATGATAATGTCTACAAGATTGATCTCCCAGGTGAGTATAATATGAGTATCAACTTCAATGTTTCTGACTTGCCTCCTTTCATTGTAGATCATGAATCTTTATATTTAAGGATAAATCCTTCGCAAAAGAGAGGGAATAATGTGGACATAAAAGTCCAAGGCCAAGGGAAGAAACATGAAGATCTAATTGAAAACTTAATTGGGCCAATGACTAGAGGAATGATTAGAAAGACCCAAGAAGCTTTACAATACAAGGTAGCTCTTTTATGGGAGGTCCAACGATCAAGGACTCAAGTCATTGAGGAGACTAAGTTGGATTACATGTGTAGTCAATCGACTTGGAGAGTTAAAATAAAAATAATTAATTTTATTTTGGTGAAGTTGAGATTTAAATCCAAGACCATTAGTTTAATATTTGATTAGTTTTAATTTTTTTGGGTTTCTTTTTATTATAAACAAAGTCAAGCCCAAGAAAATCCTAAACCCTAAATTTTGTATTTATATTTGTTAAATTAAGAAAAGAGGCAACAAATAATTTTTGCCAAAGTGAGAATATTTTTCTGCTAGAATTCTTCCTTGCATTTTCGATTAATAATTCACAAATTCTTGCGACAATCACCATTAGGCTTATCAAACTTTGTTTGTGACATTTTTCTTTATTCAGGTTTTTTCTATTTTGTTCTCAATTCCTATTTTTCTATTTTTAATTGATTCCAAACTCTAAATCTTTTTGCATCAATTTTATTTGAAATCTTATCAGATATTTTCATAATGTTTTACCTCTCTATTTTAGTCAATTAACATCATAAAATAATCAATTAATTAGTCTATTTAGTAAAAAAATCGATTAAATGCATGATTTAATCGATTAAAACTAACAGTTTTTGCTACATAAAAAGTTTTGATATCTTTTCAAACATATGATTTGTAAAAAAGTTTTGAGCAACCCTTTGAGAGATTTTGAGAGTCTTACATGCACTTTTCACTGTGGATTAAATCAAAACATTCTTGAGGCATTTCTTTTACTTTCTTTGGAAGATTACTTAGAAATTATGATTAAGCACTTATGATGTTCTTCAGTATAATATTTTAAGGTGATTTATATCCTTGTGCTCTTTTCTTCTATCGTATTTGTGGTACCTGGTGTTGGGTATTGGTCGATGGTAACCTGACGTGGGTTATTGGTTGTTTCAAGATTGATTCTTGGGTGTTCAAGAAACTCTTGAGGTAGATAGAATGTGTCTACTAGTTTGTGATTGTAATTAAATATTGGTTTAGTGAAACTCAATTGGTTGTACTGAGAACTAGATGTAGCTCAGGTGGTTGGGTGAACTAGTATAAATCCTTGTGTTTTCTTCTCTTTCTGTCTCTTACTTCTTACATTTACATTTTGTTTTCCTGTTTTATTAGTCAATTAATTCTTGAAAAGATTGATATTGTTCTTTGAGAATTGATTTAATTCGAAAAGGTTTTGAAAAACTTTAAATAGATTAATTTACCCCCTCTTGATCTTGACCATTGATTGTTCTTAACATTAAGTTCATAAGTCAAAAGTCCTTTATCCCTAAGTCCGTATGTCCTAAGTCTTAAGTCTTATGTCCCTAAGTTCTATGCCATAAATCCAAAGTTTGTAAGCCCATAAGCTTGGGTTCCTATTTTTGAAGTTCTAAGTTTGTAAGTCCCTAAGTTGTTATATGCAAAGTCCTAAATCTTATGTCTATAACCTAAATCTTATGTCTATAACCTAAATCTTAAGTCCCTTAGTCCTTAGGTCCGTCCATAAATCTTAAGTACTATGACCTAAGTCTTAAGTATGATTTTTCTAACTTTTAAGTTCCTATGCCTCAAAGAAGAAGGATAGGAAAAAGAGAAATAAGTTATGGTAAAAGCATAGGAAAGAGAAAGAGAAAAAAAAGTGGAACAAAATAATGAATTATAAGAGAAATATAAAAAAAAAACAAAAAATAAAGCAAAAGGATGATGAAAGTAAAAAGATAAAAAAAGGAACAAAAAGAGAGGAAAGATGTAACAGAGGAAAAGGAAGATAAAGAGGTATAAATATGTGAATCTATGTATGTATGATTGTATGCATAAATGTATGAAAAATTATGGAAAAAAAAAAGAAAAAAAATGAAGGGGTAAAGGAAGAGATAAAAGAGGAAGATGAAGGTAAGGATGAGAAGAATAAGAAGAATTACAAAAAAAAAAAGGTGAAGAGTAAGAATAAGAGCAAGAGGAAACAAACAAGGAGAAAGAAGTAAAAAAATGGAGAAGGAATACAAATAAGAGGATGAAAAGGAGGAGAAGAAAGAATAAGAATAAAAAGATAAGCAAGATGAAAAAGTAAAACAAGAAAAAGAAGAAGAAATAGAAAAGGATAATGACAATGATGAAAACAAATAAGAGGAAGAAGGAAAAAAAACAAGAAAAAAAAGGAATGTAAAGAAAGAAAAATAAGAAAAAGAAATAATGAAGGAAGTAGATGAAAAAAAGAATAAATAGATAAGGAGAAAAAGAAATAAAATTCATATAAAAAAATAAAATATAAAGAAAAAAATAAAATAGAAATGATAAAGAAGTAAAAAAATTGAAGAATAAGGAATAAGAAAAAAAATTAAATAAAAAATAAAAATTAAATTGATATATGGTGATAATATCCTCAAATAGCATATAAAAATAATTTATCTTAGGAACATATTATTCTAATATTCTTATTACTTTCATGTTAGTAACTTAACATGAATAAAAAAATAATTATTTATTTATTACTAACTTAACATAAATAGAAGAAATAATTTTTTATTAAGGTATATAATAAATGCTCATAAATATATCACTATTATAAAAAAAATTAAATTTCATTAGATCAACTTAAGATAGAAAAATTATTTATGCAAGAAATATATTTATTTAACAAATATAATATCAATCTTACTTTCTAAATAATGCTCACCTTAAATTTTATATGTTTCACTTTAATATAAAGTTGATTTAATGCTTAATGAATTGTCTATTGTTTTATCATAAAATAGCTAAAATGTATGGTATCTCCTGTCTTATAAAACTTTTAATAAAAAATCACAATTACTCCAAAAATTAAATCTACTACATATAAATATTAAAAATAAAAAGAGTGTTTAAATAAATATTTCAAACGATTCCAATTTGTATTTTAGAACCATTGTATATCGTGTATAAATTTCACTTGAATGATGGAACTAATCATTTGCTCTACATGGTGTTTGACAACTTTCTTCCAAATATTGAAGAGGAAAAATCTCATTTGAACCCTGCACGAACAACACAAACTAATTTAAAAAAAGAAAAACACCATTACAAGTATTAAAGAGAGAGACTTCTGGGAAAATTAAACGTTAATAATATACATAATATACTAACACATTAAAACCTAAAATCTTCATACCTTATAAATTGTAACAATTTATTTATTAAAGAATAAATTAAAGTTATCAATAATTTCACATTTACTGATTGAACAAAATCATCTTAAACTATGATTTAAGAAAAGTCCAATAAACAATAACAAAAAAAATCAAGATCAATAACAAATAAGAAATTAAATAGTGTTCAATCAACAAAAATACCAAAATATTCAAACTAATGACAAATAATAAAAGATGTTCAAAAATACCATATTAATATTGATTTTGAAGTAAAAACCCGAAAATACACATACAAATGTCCTGTGTATTCTAGTGATTCCTAATAAAAACATCTCTGCACATCTTTGCACAATAAAAACATCTCTGCACATCTTTGCACAATAAAAACATACAGGAAGTCTTTATTAGTAATCCTAAAGCTCTAACTATTTTTATAACACAATACCTCCATTGCAAATCAGTTATCTCATGAGATAAGTCCTTCTCCCTCTCCTGAGCTTCTTCAAGTTGCAGAAATGCATAGCCACTTGAAATGTTTATTAAAATAAATAAGTCAATTGAAAGATAAATGACTCAACAATCATAACATGGTAAACTTTAACTAATTACTCTCTACACTTCAAATTTATTGACCTTTTAAACAAATTATGTTGATTAATATTTTTAAATTTTTATAAATATTAAAACATGTATTCCAGTTTTGTAATACTATTAATAACGCGTATATAGAAATTGAGAAAGAGATTGAGTGATATGCAGGGCATGAGTTGGCTTCAACTTTAAATTCGGAAATTTTGAAAATAAAAATAAAAATACAGGTAATAAAAATTACATTATCTAACCACTGAAGCGATTGCGTAATGCAGGATCTAACTCTTTCTTACCATAATCACCACCAGGATTCATTGTTGCAAGAACAAAAAAATTTGAATGTGCAGTAATTTTCTCCAGATCAGTCCCTCCTTTCTCAGCTAAAGACTGCAACCACATAACAGAAAACTCAAAAGAATAAAAGATTGTAGAAATGTTGACAAGCAATTGTGCAGAAAAATGAATCCAGTAGTAAGTAAGCTCAATATGCATGCTACTTGTGTTTATAGATACTCAATATTTTGTCTATAGATACTCAATATTTTGTCATTCACTGGGGTTATTCGGAAAGGTAAAAAAGCAATTTAGAGCACTGTATTTTTAATACTTTATCTACATTATCTTTTTTCATCTTTATTCCTTAGTATCTATCCTACTATTCTTCTATAACATTGATCATTGCGTTCGACTTGATCGCTGAGTAGGCTACCTCCATACCAACCATTTATTTTGTATGACATTTACAATTATACCAGACACATATGGTACACAACATAAATCAACCCCAGTACAAATAATAATAACTAGTAGAAAGATAGACATTATTGTATCTGCTTTGTGACATGACCACAATAATAAAATAAATTATAAGGTAGAAGACTTTATCATTACCGTGTGCAAGAGCATAAATGTATAATGCAGCATTGCATAGTCCACTAGGTCTCTTCCCTGTCTATTTTCTAAAATTATCAATTCAGCATATTCATAAGAATAAAAGTTCATACTGCACACCCCAAACTGAAAAGACTAACACAAATGCCAGAACATACTACCCACAAAATATTTAGTCATCTGCTTACATAAACTGAGCTGAAAAAGGAAACACTCACTTTTAGTACATCTATGAATAAAAATACAAGGATTCATAGGCTTTTGAACAATTGGGTGTTCTCCAAACCTCGATACTTGACGAAGCTGCAAGAAAATTGATCGTAGTAAATAACTGCATAACAAATTCATGACCGTATAAAAACAACAATCAGACACACAGAAAACACAGAGACAATCAGAAAGAAATCTAAAGAGAAAATGAAAGCCGTGTTAGGGAACGGAGAGAAAACACCGAGAAGACAATTGCGCCTGAAGTTTAAATAAAAGCTATAATAACCGTCCGCGTGGAGGGAATAACGCCCATAAGATTTATCATTAAATACTTCTCCAGCAAGAATAAAAAATAATAAATTTTGTATAAATTATAATTATTCAAAATATGAGAAATGTGAATTTAAGAATTTGTTAATGAAAAAAAAAACTTAATTATTTTATTTATATTCCCATTTATATATAGTGTAATTTTTATTATACATGAACTAATTAACGGAAATACATTACATATAATATGTAATTTAAACTAAATTTGTAAAACTAAACAGAAAAATCAGACTTTAAAAAATATTGTTGGGTTACTTCAATTTAAATATAATAGTGAAATATAATTCAGATTTATGTATTATAAGTAAATATTTATAAAATTATTATACCATTTTTATTTTTCTCATGTATGAATACATTACCTGTGTTTGATTTTTCAATTACTTTTATAATAAATTAGTTTGAAAGTTTTTTTCTCTGTTTTTTTATATTGCAAACCAAAATTTAATACAATTGAATACAAGGATAGAAACAAAGTGAAGTATTTTTCACAGCATACAAATTATATTATAATAATAATATAGATAAATAAATTTTAATTTTAATTATTAGTCAAGATAGGCTATGCTATGTTGTTAACAATCAATATTTTGTTTGGTAATGTATGTACGAGAGATAATATCTTAAATTAAATAATTATGAATATTAATCTAATACTTGATTAAACTAGAGATTGGGGGTGTATATATATTTTTAGTAATAAAATATATTTGATGAATATTGAAAAATATATTTAGTTGAATTGAAAAAAGAATTAAAAGCGTGGGAGGGGGAGTTAGTTGCAGAAGAGAGGTGGCGGGAGTTTGGATCGCGAAGAGAAAGAGTGGCAATCCGAAAAGGGCGTAACAGAAGTGAAGAGAGCTCAAAAAGAAAAAAGAGAGAGAGAAAAGAAAGCCCATTAGTTTCGATTTCACGAGAAAGCTGGGGAACGGGACAGAGAGATAAACCCAATTACCCTTACCCTCACCACAATTCATTCATTCGTTCATTCTCACCCATCTTCACGTGTGAAAGATAGAGAGACATATACCTTTATCAATCAAAATTACCCTTGCTGATCTGAATCTATCTTTTCTGGAAATTCATCGCCGCAACAATCAATCAACATGAAGGAGAAGGACAAAGAGAAGGAGACTGAGAAGAAGAAGTATCCAATTGGAGCTGAACATTACCTTCTCTACGAAGAGATTGGTCATGGCGTAAGCGCTTCTGTTCACCGCGCCCTCTGCGTTCCCTTCAACGAGGTCGTCGCCATCAAAATCCTTGACTTCGAACGTGACAATTGCGATCTGGTATAATATATTTATTTATTCATTACTTTCAATAATTTATGTTTAGATTCAATTAGTTAATCGCGAATTATTAATAAAAAAAATAAAAAAATGCAATGCAATACGCGCAGAACAACGTGTCTCGTGAGGCTCAGACAATGATACTTGTGGACCACCCTAACGTGCTGAAATCCCACTGCTCGTTCGTGAGCGATCACAATCTGTGGGTGGTGATGCCCTACATGTCCGGCGGATCATGCCTCCACATACTGAAAGCCGCGCATCCCGACGGGTTTGAGGAGGTTGTGATTGCCACCATTCTGAAAGAGGTGTTGAAGGGTTTGGAGTACCTTCACCATCACGGCCACATCCACCGCGACGTCAAGGCCGGCAACATTCTCATCGATTCACGCGGCGCTGTTAAGCTTGGCGATTTTGGTGTCTCTGCCTGCCTCTTTGATTCCGGTGACCGCCAACGCACAAGGAATACATTTGTTGGAACACCTTGCTGGTATATTCATTCATTCATTAGCATTGCCGCATTGCAATAACTCTCTCCTGCACTTCATTCGTTCTTCATCTCATCAATCTTTTGTGGCTTCGTTACAGGATGGCACCCGAGGTCATGGAGCAACTCCATGGCTATAATTTCAAGTTTGTTCTCGTCTCTCTCTTTATTTCATAATAATATTAATTATTCATTCTAGTCTTTATTCTGCACTTGCCATATCAAGTTAATATTATACTTTTCCAGAGCTGACATCTGGTCATTTGGTATAACGGCCTTGGAGCTTGCTCATGGGCATGCTCCTTTCTCAAAGTTTCCACCAATGAAGGTGGGCATATTATTAACTAGCTATCTATTAAAAACCAAAAAAAAAAGAAAGAAATATCATGCTTGTTATTGACTACTACCACCTGGTTTCATAACAGGTACTGCTCATGACTTTGCAAAATGCACCCCCAGGCCTTGACTACGAAAGGGATAAGAAGTTCTCTAAGGTCACTTTCCCAAATTATCTCACCTCTCAATGGTTATAATTAGGTTTCAACTTTCACTCCTTGCTCCTTTATTCTTAATCTGCATCTTTCTTCTTTCTCTCTAGTCGTTTAAGCAGATGATTGCTAGCTGCTTGGTAAAAGATCCTACAAAACGACCCTCAGCAAGCAAGTTATTAAAGCATTCCTTCTTTAAGCAAGCTCGCTCCAATGATCATATTCGAAAGCTCTTGGAGGGGCTGCCTGCTTTAGGTGATCGAATGGAGGCCCTAAAGGTTCCATATCATTACCATAACTTTCCTCCTTCCCAAGCCCATGTAATGATGTATAATATTTTTATGAGCTATTTTTCTATCATAGAGAAAAGAAGAAGATATGCTGGCACAAAAGAAAATGCCTGATGGAAAGATGGAGGAATTATCACAGGTAACAGCTACTATGTCTAATTGTTTGGAGTAAGAGTTATGCCATATTGTTTCAAAACCTCATTCTATTGCTAAACATATTTTTTGATAGTAATGACATCGTTGTGTTAATCCTGTATAGAATGAATACAAACGAGGAATTAGTGGCTGGAACTTCAATCTGGAAGATATGAAGGCTCAGGCTTCCTTGGTACACTCCATCTTTTCTCCTTTGCAGCCAACATGTGACTCCAGCGGTTATAGAATTTCTAATTACAGGTTTTATTTCTTCCAGATCCATGATTTCGATGATGTTATGTCGGATATCAATCATGCAGCAAGTTCAAGCTCTTTATCTACGCTTGATTCCCAAGAGAAACAAATGCCAAGTGCAATTCACAACCCTTCTCGATCTGTTGATATGGTATTTGTAAATTAATTTTCTACTTGTTAGGATTATATGCACTGTATATATATATATATATATATATATATATATATAATATAAATATTCTTTTTAGCAATTTTTTAACTGGAGTAGTTCTAATGCCTTTGCTTCACAGGAAGAAAATGATGATATGCGAAATCAATCAGCTTCAGTTTCTGCAGTTGATACCAAGTATGCTTCCTAATATACTATGCATCTGATATCAGATCTACTAAATTACACCTTTTTCATTCTCAAATTGTGAGAACTTATGAGATTATAAGTTTACATCACTGGCTAACGCTTCTGTTTGGTTTGGGGTCTTGTATTCTGAAATAAATTATACCTGTATCTACAGTTCGGAAAAGGGTCAATTAAGTTAATCCAATTATTATCATGTTTTTCCATTTCCAGAAATAGGTTTGAAAGATTCGATGATGACTCTAGCATCACCAGTTCCAGCCGTGAACCACAAATGTCTTCATCCTGTCTTGATGATCATGTGGACAATAATTTGGGTGAAAAACCTGACATGGAAAATGGTGGAAGATTTGTGGAGGGAATGGCCACCCTGCATCATCATAGAAGGGGATGTTCATCGAGCATCTTACCAGAAGTTACCCTTCCACCAATTCGATCTGAAAGGTGAATATTATAATTATGCATTAAGTTTGTTTACTTTTGTGTAATTATTTTCTGGTAAAGTGCGTTGAGTTTACTTCTGAAAACTGCATTTACATTTCTAAATGCTATCAACACAATCTTTATTATTAACTGAAATTTATTGGAAATTATAAAATTTTGTCGGTTTCATTTCTTATTTAATGAGTTTCGTGCATTATTTTGTAGTTTTCAGTAAATTTTAATCAATTGTAAAGAGTGTGTTTGCGTTCTCCTCTGACTTTGTTTGTTCTGTTAGTTATTATCATCGTGGCAGAGCTTGCCATTTGATTTGCGAAGCCTGCCTTCGCTCATGTGGATTTTCTTTTTCAATATCTCATTCTCTCCGCTTGGCCGGGATAGGCGTGATCATCCCAAATCCCAATCGTAAATCTTTGCTTTCTTCTTTAGTCCATCCTCTGGAATGGCTGAACCTGGGATCTCAGGTCATTAAACATTCTTATTTCAAGAGCATAGCCCAATGTATCTCTTTTTCCCACATTAACAAAGTCCATTCATTCCATGTAATGCATAATGAACCTTGGAACAATATACTTTATCGATCCATATTGAATATTTGTGACAGACATGCTTAAATCAATATTTCAAACATTATATATCATATAATGGTTTATTTGTTGTCTGTCGTTACGTTCTATGTTTAGTTTATGGCTGTTTTAACCATATTGATTTTTTCTTGTTCTTCCCATTCTCTGGTAGAACTTGCTTTCTCATATTTTGGGAAAAAACAATTTCATTTCTCATATGCTCTAGTATGTAGTACTTAATGTTTCTATTTTTTTTTTTCATTAAATGTGATTTATCAACTTAACCATTATATTAACATATAATTACTTTCATTGTTCGCGTAAAATGTAGTAAAAAAATGAATAATGATAAGAATATAAATAGATATTTTTTATATTTCAATTAGTTTTGATATATTATATTATATTATATTATATATATATATATATATATATATAATTCTAGATAGATATAAAATAGTGATGGGGAAAATTTGTTAAAACTTTGTAGTAATTTTAACTTTCATTAATATCTCCTATCCCTCTTATTTTGGTTGAGGGGGAATCAATATAGGAGAGATCGGTTTCCACTCTTATCAGACATAATTTTTTTAATACTATTTAACAACTATAAATAACATGTTCTTTTATTATTTTAATTGTTAATTTACAACTTTCAATGTATTTATTTATTTGTACGAAATGTAATAATCCTTTTTAGTAAGTAGTGTCTCTTCCACAGCATTAATATAATTTCCTTATTTCCTTCTTTTAATCCTTTGAGTATTATAATTTATCTGCCGTCAGCATTAATACTTAGCAATATAAATGGCAGTGAGAAGCCACAAAATCTGCCCCAGAACGGTTTTAGTTGCAGTGGAACTTCTCTTCCACAGACAGGAGAGGACGTGCTTACTGAACTTCCATCTAGAGTCTCAAAATCATCAGGTAACTGCTTATATTCTTTCGTCCCATCAAATGCTTTGTTGTCGAGTGTCAGCATCAAGGGAGCATCCCTGTTTTAAAGAAAAGACACATTTGAGCCCGACGATGGATTACTAAGCATTTCGGTCTAATTAATGACTTTTGACAGCTAATTCTGATGACACTGATGAAAAATCGAAGGTGCCAGTTGTACAGCAGAGAGGACGATTTAAGGTTACATCTGAGAATGTTGACCCAGAAAAGGTGAGTAAAGTAATAACTCTACCACTGATTATTCTCCTTTCTTGGACACTGAAATAGTATGCGAGGTTTTTTTTTTTTTTTTTCAGGTGGCCCCTTCTCCTGTACTGCAGAAGAGTCATAGCATGCAGGTTAGTGGTTTTTGAATTTTGTATGACTGTCCCTTTTCTGCCCCTGGTTAGGATAGGAGAGAAACCCCTGGTCAAAACCAGCATTTTAGTACCTCCTTTTGTAATTCTACTGACTCATAGGGGGGCGCATCCAGACCGATATTTTTTACTTCCCTTTTACGTTCTAGTGGATATGTCAATGTCTCTCTTACCACGATTACATATATTGTTGTTGATGCTTTAGTTATTTTTATTCTTATTGCATTGTATGGCCATTAATGGTGTTTAATTTGCTGCCTGCAACTAATCTTGTCAGAAAGTGATGCTATCATTTTTTTTTTTAGAAAAAGAAACGGTCGCAATTTGTTTAGTTTATTTGGTTTGTTTGAAGAATGCGTCTATTACATAATAGGATAGTGGTTTTAAATCATACACCTATGGCAGGCAGTTATAACTCCTAATTGACTGTACATCTCATGGAAATGGCATGGATTATGTAGGTTTTTAGCCAGCATAATGCTGCTGTTTCTGTACATCCAACTTTGCCATTATTACCAGCACCCGAAGCCACATCATCAAATCTTTCGGCCTGCGTTGTGTTTCCTATGTTGCACTCTGTACTGCAGACAAATATTCTTCAACAGGTACGTTCAGCTTTATGGTCTTATGAGTTACGGTCGGTCTCCTTCAGCTAATCTCCATGAGTAACTGTTTCTTAAATGACTTTTTATCAGGAAAGCATTTTATGTTTAATGAAGCTAATTACTACAAGTGACTCTTCAGGTTCTACCAAGAACACTTTCTGTTTGAATATTTTGTTCTTAACTTTTATTTTTTGTTTGCTGTTCTTTTATATGCATACTTTTCAATTCTTTCTCGTCTACTGCTCAGCTGATGGTTCATGTACTCAAGCACAAATAGCAGCAACCGAGAAATCTTTGGTATGTATGTCTAGGGCTTTGATGATGTCATCTAAAAAATTTTACATTTTACCGCAGTATAAGAATGTTGCATATTACATTAATATTAATGTCAATTGAGTTTGGAGGTTGTGAAATTTAAAATTACAATAGCAAGAAAGGTGCTTGATTAAGTTCTTAGGCTGCACCTCTAGTCCTGGTTGCTGGAAATCTTTTCGATTAAGACACAGGGCTGTCTAATACACTAGTGTGCATACTGATAGTGCTGGAAGTTAATGGTTATATATGATGCATTAATGTAAGGGGTGCTTATTTCCATCATCCTCCTCCTCTCTGAAAGTCGTTGTTAATTAATAATTGATTGATTGACTATTAAGTGCTTTTACACAATTTTTTTTTAAATGAATAAGTGACTTAGTTATTGGAATAATTTTTCTAAAATCACTCAATCTCTTCTTCTCAATTTCTATAAACGCATTATTAATAGTATTTATTTAGCATAAAACTGGAATGCATGTTTTAATATTTATAAAAAATTAAAAAATATTAATCAACATAATTTGGTTAAAAGGTCAATAAATTTTGAAGTGGAGGGAGTAATAGGTTAAAGTTTACCATGTTATGATTGTTGAGTCATTTATCGTTCGATTGGCTTATTTATTCAAATAAATATTTTACTGTTACATGAATGACATTATTTGCTTTTTCCTTTCTATTTTTTTATTGAGTTATGTGGCTATGCATTTCTGCAGCTTGACGCAGCTCAGGAGAGGGAGAAGGACTTACTTCATGAGATAACTGATTTGCAATGGAGGTATTGTGTTATAAAATATAGTTGGATTGGATTACATGGTGAATTTGGGTGTATCTTAATCCTTGCATGTATAACATGTAGGCTTATCTGTGCTCAGGAGGAGCTTCAAAAATTTAAAACAGAAAACGCCCAGGTTAGTATTAAGTATTGTTGTTCACTTTTGGTGAAAAATTGTAGGTTAAACTGGTTCAACAAAAAAATAGTAAATTATTTTAGGATTATAAATTATGATTTTATATAACTTTTTAAATTAATTTATATTAACAAAAGTAATTTTTTTTCTATCTATTGTATTTGAATTGAACCATAAAATATTGGCTGTATTGACCAATAATTTCTTGTGGTATTTGAAAAGCATTGGTATTAGGATAGATTGCATCCAATTATTTGAATTATGTTTTAACTTGTAAAAGTATATTGGAAATTATAGGTGTAATTGCCTTGTGGAATGGACGCAAACAGGATTAAATGGATGGAATGGTGGCGGGATTAAATTTTAAGCCGAGTAAGGTTGAAAAACGTCAAAAAAATTGGTAGACTAGATATGAAGTGGTATACTACTTGTAGATTTTTTTAATCATTTAGATGATAAAGATTTTATCCAGTGCTCTTGTTGATAATTGTTTTTGTAAATTATTTTAGCTTTATTTACTAGTTGTAAATTGTACCCGTGCTATTTAGTTCTTTTATCAGTAAACTAACTAAATTATAAAATGTATTTGATGAAACATCGATCAAAATATATGATACACTTACCACAAAACTTAATTCTTTTATAACACTTGATCAATTTTTTTATAATACTTGAAGCCTATTATGTTTGGGGTTTCTGGTTTTTTAAATTATAATCTACGCATTTTATTATTCGGAATTTCACTATTAAATGTCATTTGTTAACTTTTAAATGTTTTTCAAATCCTTATATTACGAATTTCACTATTAAATTTGAAACCTATATTACATTTTTTTAATATTATTTTACTTTTCCTTTTCAATTTACTAATTCTAATATTTTGGGAGTTACATTTATTATTTTTTAGTAATTGAATAAAAAAGAGAAATGTAAATTAAGTTTTATAAAGTGGAAGAACTTAAATAAACACAAGCACAAAAAAATAATTAAATCCTTTTAGTTTTTAAAATTGGCAACAAAATACATAATCTTTTATTCTAAAACTAAAAAACTCATCTTAAACAAAAAAGTAATCTAATTCGCAAAAATATAATTCTCAAAAAACTATTCTTAACATAGTGTAAGCTTCACACATAACAACCAACCAGTTACATGGATGAATTTTATATATACAAATGAAAAATATGCGGATAAAATAAAAAATATATATACTAAATAATTATTATAAAATTTAATTATCTTTAATCTCATTTATTAATCACATGAATTTAATATTTAATATGAATCAATTAATGCTGTTCAATCAATTATAAGAAATAACCGTATTCAGATATTACCTGTTAATAATTCGTGGACATTTTATTCACGGTACCATTTTGTATAATGATAAATCGAACGTCATATTTTTACAAACATTATTAGTGCTTTATAATTAAAAAAAAAAAGATTTATATCAATTTAAAAGTAAATAAAACATTATGAATTATTATCATAATAATTTACATATTTTTCTCTTTTAATTTATTTTAAAAAATTATGATAAATTAGATTATTAACTCTAACAATATTATCAAAATATAATTTAAAACATCGATAGAAAATTTTGATCAAATTCTATCTCCTAATCTATTACTAACTATATTTAGATATTCACATAAATCTCATATAAATATATGATTTTTCTTTCTTAACATTTTGACCTCAAATTTTGGTTTGTTAAAATTAAGCGCATTATACGCTTTAGTCCCTTATAATTTTATACTTAAAACTAGTCTTAATAAATAAAGAAAAAAATATCATTATATAAACTAACTATGCTTAGTTTTAGTTTCCGAAGATATAAAAATAGAAAAGTTGTTTGAAGAGCATCATATGATTAAAACACATTAACATGCATGTTATATGTAAACAATAGCCAATAGTTAATATAATTTCTCAAAATAATGCAACTCATCTTTTGACGAGACATGACAAATGACAATGTTAAATTATCTAATACGCACCCTACATCCATATACAAATAGTTCCATTCAGCTTGAACTTTAATGTTTAAATCTTACAAAATATTTCACACTTAGAGGTCAAATTTATATTTATATTTTAAGGTTAGTTTCCATATCACTAATAAATTTTATTTTGTTTTTCTTTTATGTTTTAAATCATAAAATTATATAATAAAGTAATATTTTTAATTTAAAACTAGTGCTCTTTGTAAAAATTAATTAAAAAAAAAAGAGATTTAATCTCTCCTCTACTGAATGAAGACCTAACTGTTGAAGCTTCAACCACTGATGAAGCCTCGTAGGTGATGATGCAAAGGAGGAAGATGAAGAATAGGATCACACTCTTTTGCCTGAAACTTCAATCTCAGAATACAAGATGTATTTGGTAGACCGCCATAATCCATGTATTTATCCACAAAAGAAATATATATTCATTTTTTTATTCTTATAATTTTTTTAAATCGAAATAAATTATTTTAATAATTAAATAGTTTGAATCATAATAATTAAATAAGAATTTTAAAATCACACATGTAAATACAATTTTGATTTCTTTGTTATTTACTATTTTTATATACTGTTTAAATTAAAATATAATTAATTTTATAAAAAGATATATGTAAATTGGATCGTAAATAATGTGACATGAATTTTGAAGCTGATAATATCTAACAATAATGAATATTAAAATTTTAAATACCATGCTTTTCACGACATGCGTCACACAGGACAATATAGTGCTATGCTACTGCATTTTCAACTATTTTTTAATGTGTCTCTATAAAATAATATTTATCTTTTATCAAATAAAATATAATACAGAGAAAAAAATGATTACGCGATACATATAAAGAATAGGAAAAAAAATAAAATTTAAAAATATATTTTTAAAATTAAAAATATAAAATTATGAGAATAGAGGATTTTTTTATTCTCGTAATTTGGTAATTACATAATTAATAAGAGTTGTTTATGAGAAGAATACTGATTCACGTTTAGAATTGGTGCATTTGGTTCTTAGCAATAAAAATGTTTTTTTTTTTACAATATTATATATTGAAATTGAAAGTGAGGTATTAGCTATATTAGTAGATGTATGAAACTATAAATAAATGATGAATAAAATATGGTCCATGGCTTGAGTCTCTCATTCTCTCTCCTATCTTGTGTTGATTGATGATGATGAGGTGAGATATAAATAGGATTAGGGAAGGAGGAGAATGGAGAATTGTGAATTCTGATTTCTGTCTGTGAATCTCAAAATGTCACGACAAATGGTGTACGTGCAGCAGTGTAAGGGTGTCAATGGCCTAGAGAAAATCATTCTTAGAGAAGTTCGCGGCTTCTCGGCGGAGGTTTCGTCGTTATCATTCACAATTTTCTTCATTTTTTTTTATCATCCAGTTGTTACAATCAATTGCATTCTCTATTTTCTTCTCTGCAGATTTATTTATACGGTGGTCAAGTTACGTCCTGGAAGAACGAACTTGGGGAGGAATTGCTTTTTGTCAGTAGTAAGGTTCAAGTTTAACATTTTTAGTTTTTTCTTTTCAAACAATTCATCGTGAATTCAACTTTTCGTTCATCTTTCTTTTTTTATACATGAATTGTCGCAGGCTAGTTTTAAGCCTCCAAAATCCATACGTGGAGGTATTCCAATATGCTTTCCTCAAGTATGTATGTCTATCTTTTAGGGCTTCTTCCTTTTGATGCCATTTTGTTTCTTTCTTTTAAGCACTTATAATAACCTACGCGCAGTTTTCAAATCATGGCTCTCTTGAGCAACATGGATTTGCAAGGAACAGGTTTTGGACCTTAGATCCTAATCCCCCACCATTTCCCACAACTAGCACCAACAGAGCTTTTATTGATTTGATTCTTAAGAACTCTGAAGATGATTCAAAAAGTTGGCCACATAGGTAAACAGTTACCTCAGATAATTCTAAAACATTTCTTAATATTCTCGCACCCTCCTAGTCTTTTATCTTGGATCAATTTAGGATGTAGGTTGATCCTATGATGGATTTTCTTTACCAGAACATTCATTGTTCTTCATAATTGGTTTATAGATATGAGTTCCGGTTGAGAATATCTTTGGGACCTGCAGGAGATCTAATGATGACATCTCGCATTCGCAACACAAATACAGATGGAAAATCCTTCACCTTCACATTTGCCTATAACACATACTTCTATGTTACTGACATCAGGTTTTGTATCTTGGATGGATCTTTTTCTTAATAATTAAAATTTTGATCAATAGCGACACATGCGTATATTTTACTTTTTATAAAGTTTTGGAAGCTTTTCAAATCTTTATCTATGATCGAGTATGGATACAAGATGCTTAATCGATGCTTAAAAATGATGTTTAGGTTAAAATGTTCTTAAACAATGTATAAAGGCACCAAACACCATCTATTCTGATATGGAATGACATACTTAAGTATTGCTATTTGCATTTGTCCAAGACCTTGTTTAATGTAGAATTGCATTGCTTTGGGATTTATGACTTTGTATGTAAGATAATTGTGACCGTTGGTATGGGCAGTGAAGTGCGAATTGAAGGATTAGAGACTCTAGATTATCTGGACAACTTGAAGAATAGAGAACGATTTACTGAACAAGGGGATGCAATTACATTTGAGTCTGAAGTTAATATTTATTTTCGATGGAATAGTTTTTTTGTCCTATTTATATTTGATTGCTTCAACTACACAACCATTTTATTTTGGTTTCTTTGATATTAAAGGTGGACAAAGTATACTTAAGCACTCCTACAAAAATTGCTATCATAGATCATGAAAGGAAGAGAACTTTTGTAATGCGAAAAGATGGGCTTCCAGATGCTGGTTAGTTTGCTAATATTAATAGCCTTCCGTATGTGCATAAGGATCATGATGAAATGGGATATATGAGATGATAATTATGAAAGAAAGGGTAACAAAACAAATGATCAAGTATTTGTGCAATCTATTTTGGTTACTCGTGGCATGAAAATGTATATTTAGCAAGCATCTGTCATATGAATGCATTGTCCCATGGTAGACTACGTGTTTCACTCAATTTTTCCAAAAAGAAAACGTCAAACATGAACAAAAGTGATTTATTCCCATAAACAATGTCTCATCATTTAAGAGTTAAAGTTAAGAACAAGTGTCTTTTCATGATAAAACTTTGACGGAATCATTTAAAAAAAATATTTCATTCAAGTTAATTATATACACTTAACTTGTTCATAATGAATGAAGCATTATACATTTAATTGGAAATAAGTAGAAAAGAGGGATTATAAGGAGGAGGAAATTTGTTTTTTATTTTATTGTATTCAGAAGAACTTCGGAGGTAAAAAAAGATAATTGAATAGACTTAAATCCTTCCTGTTTCATTTTTGTCTTCCTTACAATATTGAAGAATTAATGGGATACAGAGAGAGGTTTGTGATATTTTAATTATGCAAATTGAATTGTCATTGATCTACATTATTTTTTTCTCTGTGGTAATTTCAATATCATCGTATTTTTTTTCTTTGTAGTGGTATGGAATCCATGGGACAAGAAAGCCAAAACCATATCTGATCTAGGGGATGGTGAGTACAAACATATGCTTTGTGTTCAAGCTGCTTGCATAGAAAATCCAATTACTCTTAAACCCGGTGAAGAGTGGAAAGGAAGACAAGAAATATCTCCAGTTCCTTCAAGTTATTGTAGTGGTCAACTTGACCCACGAAAAGTACTTTTTTCTTATTAGGAGAATGAGTTCCATTGCGTCTTTGTAAAGGTAATTCACTAAATCATTCATTACAAATAATTATCTTATATTAATACAAACTTTATGAGATTATGTAAGGTGTAAATTTTATTCCATCAATGAAATTTTATAATAAACTATAAGCTACTTAATGGTATAAGATACATTTAGGCTGATGAAACCCATTATTCTTAATATCAGATTTGTTGATTTGTCACTCCTGATACCAGTCAATATGAAGTATCGTGAATGTGACACTTCGATCACCTATGTTTAAACTAAATACTCAATTATGAAAACAAATTTTATTTTGAGTGACCATGAACATAGTCAATTTCTTTTAGTGAACAAGTTCGTCCATAATATTTACAAGAAAAATATTGCAATTTGTACGAAACTTTATTTCGCTAATGAATAAATATCAATGATATTTGCTTATATGTTTAACCTTGAGTATGATAGAGTAAAATGAATCATTAATAGAGAACATGATATTTGTGATATGCATAACTTTATTTTGTTGAAAAAAATAACATACTTCACTGCCAAACTCACATATCTTCATTTAAGTTTAAACACACCCTTTTTTAAATAATTAATAATGATTTATATTGCCCTCTAACTTCATAAACATTGATCCTTCCAAAACTATGACCTAAAATAATGTGTTCTTCTCACTAAAGTCACACAAAGTGTATATTGATAACATATTTTAAACAAAATCTGTACTTCATAAGTTAAGAATATAAGGTCCCTTAATCAATTATTATTAAACAAAAATACGATGATAAGTATCCTGAAGAAAAATATTCAGTAGATTTTTTCTATAAATATTATATGTTTCTTCTTTTAAAAAAATCATTTATTTAAAAATGTACTCTTTTTCTTCTTCTAAAAACTAATAATATGTGTAAGTATGTCTTGTAACAAAAACAATTAGAATTTAACTCCACGTGTGATTATAAAAAAAATTATTATGTAACTATAATTAAACAATAAGTAAAACTAATAAAGATAATAATAATAATAATAAATTAAATAATATATAAAAATTTTAATTTGTCATCTTTATCCCAAAAAAATAATTTAAATTTAGAAGGGTTCCTAATTTATTATTGTTTATGATATATATTAATATTGTGGACTCCATCATTAAAAGATTATTTTTGATTTCATAATCTTTTATAGGGTCAATAATTTTAGTTTTACTTTCGTCATATTCTTATCTATATGTTTATATACGGAATAAAAAAATAATTTTAATAATTAATTTAAATAAATATTTTTTTAGAAAATAATAAAAATATTTTTTTAATAAAATTTTAAAAGAACTTTTTTTTAAGGAACAGTAAACATTCAATCCCTCTTCCCTCCGCCATTGTTATATAACTTTAAATCCATTACATTATTCATTTAAACTTTGACACCCATCCCCATCTTCTTCTAAAAATAAAACAAATGTGAGAAGATAATCTTCTTCTAAAAAATAAAATAAATTTTAGAAGGTAATCCCAATCCATACCAAACCATCTATAAACAAATTGATTAATATACTCATATATATAACCTTATATATTAACTATA